CAATTCTGACTTTATAACTTGTATTTCTGATTTTGTCTCGCAATTCTGACTTAATATCACGCATTTCTGACTTTATAAACGCAATTCTGACTTTTCTTGCAATTCTGACTTTTAAATCACTTGCAATTCTGATTTTGTCTCGCAATTCTGACTATATCTCACAATTCTGACTTTATATCATGCAATTCTGATTTTATCTCGCAATTCTGACTTTATATCTCGCAATTCTGACTTTATATCATGCAATTCTGACTATACACGCAATTCTGACTTTATAACACCCAATTCTGATTTTGTCTCGCAATTCTGACTTTATAACACACAATTCTGACTTTACAACACGCATTTCTGACTTTATAACTCGCAATTCTGACTTTATAACTTGTATTTCTGATTTTGTCTCGCAATTCTGACTTAATATCACGCAATTCTGACTTTATAAAACGCAATTCTGACTTTTTCTTGCAATTCTGACTTTATAACTTGCATTTCTGATTTTGTCTCGCAATTCTGACTTAACACGCAATTCTGATTTTGTCTCGCAATTCTGGACTTTGTAACACACAATTCTGACTTTATAACTCGCATTTTTGATTTTGTCTCGCAATTCTGACTTTATAACACACAATTCTGACTTTACAACACGCAATTCTGGCTTTATAACTTGCATTTCTGACTTTAGAACTCGCAATTCTGACTTTATAACTTGTATTTCTGATTTTGTCTCGCAATTCTGACTTAATATCACGCAATTCTGACTTTATAAAACGCAATTCTGATTTTTTCTTGCAATTCTGACTTTATAACTTGCATTTCTGATTTTGTCTCGCAATTCTGACTTTATAACTCGTGCTTCTGACTTTATATCTCACATTTCTGACTTTGTCTCGCAATCCTGACTTTAAACAAGCAATTCTGACTTTAACACACAATTCTGACTTTAAAACAAGCAATTCTGACTTTAAAACACAATTCTGACTTTGTCTCGCAAGTCTGACTTTACAACATGCAATTATGAGTTTGTGTCTCTCAATTCAGAATTGCAAGATTTAAACACTCAATTGTGAGATAAAAAGTCACAATTATCTTTTAAAATGTTTCATTCTGTGGCGTAAACAAGCTTCCATTACATCCTCATGGATGAAACACATCATTGGAGGGGGTGAATGTCAGATTCAGCTCATTGATTGTTGTACAAGTGACATATATCCGAGTGAAACTGCTTGTGGGCGGGGCTTGAGTAAGTCTGTGGGGAATTGATAGGATGGTGGTGGTTTGCTATTGGTGGATGTCATGTGAGTGACAGCTTGCCCTGCCCACATCATCAGAGAAGAGAAACATTTGAAATGGAATCTTTTGTAACATTCTTTAATGTCACTTTTGATCAATTGAATGCGTCCTCACTGAATAACGATATTCATTTCTTCTGAACGCTAGTGTACCAACAACATTGTTTTTAATATTAAAGCTAAAGTTAATATATAATTGTTGGATGGCAGACGCAGCATCTGCTTCCTCTGGGATGTTTACACAGAAATCATATTCTGGACCATGACATCAGCACTCGCATGGCAAAAAGAAATCAGGTCGTCATGGTAACTTATGCTATCAAAGACATCCCAGAACGAACGCATCCGAACATGAGAGGTAAACAACCCGGGAAATATTTTCCGATGACGTGCAGCGCGTTTGAGGCATTAACCCTGACGTCTGCAATTAGCAGCGACTGAGATTTATGAAGCAGCTTCCCTGAAAACACATCATATATATTTATGATCTGACATTCTAGACAAAAGTGAGACACGTTTCTCCTAAAGTGAATCGAGGACCACGCCGTTCAAATAGAGATTCATACAATCCCAGTTAGAAATGAATGGGACAGGATTAATTAGTAAATCTTTTTTCAATTCCATGTCTTGCATAAATAAATAAATAATAATTGTTTTAATTGTTGTTGTTTTTTTTAAGAAAGATAAAAATAAACAGTTTTTCTTCATTTACATTTTATATAAAAATTAAAAAATATCTTTAATAAGAAGAACCTGTATAAATAAATAATAAAAATATAAACAAACAAATAAATAAACTATAAATGGTCTGTGAATACTCCAGTTATCTGAGCTCTTTCATGTGCAATAAAAGTAATTGTCTTCTTATTTATTGAATACGTGTCAGTTGTATGTTTGGCGTCTTCATATCGTAGTCAATTAATTGTTCGGATTCAAATTTAAAGATACACAACAAAAATACACCAATATAGTGAAGATTCACAATTTCGTCAGCACAGCGAAAACTACTAACCTAACTACCCTAACTACCCTAACAACGTAACATAACTATTACTAGCTAATTACACTTCACTTCCGGCTTATTTAACAGAAGCAAAACTGGACATGATAGTCACTAATGTTGTCATGCTTATTTGAGTTAAGAGAACTGATGGGGATGTTCTTTTAATTGTTATTCAAGCAATGTATGTCTCGTGACCAACTCAACGAGTGTTGCCAACAGGAACCGTGTAGAGCGCCCTCTGGTGGACAAACTATACAACTCCAACACTCGTGACATGGTTCAAGCGTGTTTCGTCTGTTATTATTTTATTTTTTAAATATTCATTTATCGGCCATTATAACTGCCGATACCGATAGTTTGGAAAATGCCTAATATCGGTCTGGCTCTAATAAAAATACCACATATTCCATTTGATTGGGTTCCTAAAACACGAGTGTGACTATATGGACTCTGAGACACTATTGTTTTCAGGCATATTCAGACGCAGCGAATCACCTAAAAAGAGGTTCGAGTCCACTGTTACCCCTTTTCCACCGAAAAAAGAACTGGTTCGTAACTGGTGCTGGTTCAAAGTTGGTTCAACTTGCGAACCCGTTCAGAACCTGTTTGTTTTTCCACAGGGAACGACGTCGTTACGTCACAGTGCACGTCGCTAGAAACGCTTGCAAGTACATTGCTTTGGGATTATCTCTAACTCGTGTACCAAGAAAACTTTAAAAACAATTGAAATATGGAAGTCTTTTAATCTTTTCGTTTGATATGTCATCTTTTCTGATAAGTTATGTTCCCCTGTCTTGTGTCTTTTTTCTTTCCATTTATTTGTTCTATATCGTGACGGTTTTCTTCTTTGCTAATGTTTCAAATAAATAAATAAAAACGCTTGCGTGTTTCTGCAGTTTCTCCTGGCTTTGCGATGGTCAGAAAAGATGTTTCGAGCACATCTAAACCCGCCCCGGCCCCGACGTAAACATGACGTGCTGAAAGAACGGTTCTAGTCCAGCAAAGAGTTGGTGCCGCTTTGGAACCAGTTTTCCCGGCCGAGAACCGGTTCTTTGGCTGTCGAAACACAAACAACTGGTTGGCGCGCAGGCACCGGATCCGAACCGGCTCTCAAAATGCTTTGGTGGGAAAGGGGCTTTTGAAGTCCACCACAGTGAAATAAAACCCTTCCGATCAGAGAACCATGAACATGCGAGTGTGTGTGAGTGGAAATCTCAGCGGAGCTTTGAGTCAGTATTTTACATGTGAGGGGTTCGGCTGACTAACGTTTGGGAATCCCTGACACACACTTTTAAAAGCAGCTCAGACAGAAAGCAGAAGCTTGTGGACGGGCCCCTAGTGCTCGCTGCGGGGCCTCTGCACTCACACGCCACACACACACACACACACTCAGATCGGATCCTCCTGTGGGATGGTGTGCGGGGACTTCCCCAGGTGCGTGAGAAAAGGGCAGGCTTAAAAGAAAGTCGTGAGGCCCCAGAGCCTTTGTGTGTGTGTTCGAGTGTGAGTGAGAGTTAGAGATTGTGTGTGTTTGCGTGTGTGTGTGAGAGAGAGAGTTAGAGTGTGTGTGCACGTGTGTGCGGTTGTGTGTGGCTGTCCACGTGTGTGTGTGTGTGTGTGTGTGTATGTGTGTGAGTTAGAGTGTGTGCGTGTTTGTGAGTTTGAATGTGTGCGTGGTTGTGTTAGAGTGTGTGTGCACGCTTGTGTGTGTGAGTTAGAGTGTGTGCGTGTGTGAGTTAGAATGTGTGCACGGTTGTGGTTGTGTGTGAGAGAGAGTTAGTGTGTGTGTGTGTGTGTGTGTGTGCGTGCGCGCGAGTTCGACTAGAGTGTGTGTGGTTGTGAGTTAGAGTGAGTATGTGTGTGTGTGCGTTCGACTAGAGTGTGTGTGTGTGTGTGTGGTGAGTTAGAGTGAGTATGTGTGTGTGTGAGTGTGTGTGTGTGTGTGTGGTGAGTTAGAGTGAGTGTGTGTGTGGTGAGTTAGAGTGAGTATATGTGTGTGTGTGTCTGTGTGCGTGTGTGATTGTGAGTTAGAGTGAGTGCGTGTATGTGAGTAAGACTAGAGTGTGTGTGTGTGTGTGTGTGTATGTGGTTGTGAGTTAGAGTGAGTATATGTGTGTGTGAGTGGGTGTGTGTACGTGTGT